CCTTGAGCCTCTGGCCTGTACCCCAGTTCTGTATGCACAAATAAATAAATCTTTAAAAAAAAAAAAATTAAACATAGAAACCTGGATATTTATCCCCTACAGAAAGAGTTCACACTCTTTTTTTAAGATTTCTTTATTTATACATGCAAGAACTTGGGTACAGGCCAGAGGTTTGGGGAAAGGATTCACCAGAGACAGAGTGGGGAGCAAAACAGACAGATCTACTGAAGTATACTGCTGAGGGGAGCAGCAGGCGAGACAGCAGAGGCCTGGTGCACCATAGGGGTCAGCTCCCTAGCAGGGCATCAAACTCATGCTGTAGTGGCTGCAGATAGCTTCACAGTGCTGAGCTTTAGCCCTTTATGCCACCAGGGAGGCCCATTCAAGCTTATTTTTGAGGGGTTAAGTCTCAGTGCTATCATTACTACGGCCTGAGTTTTATCCCTGCCCGGAGAGGTGACCCACAGGGCACAGGGAGGACTCTCCTGTCTTGTCCACTGCTCCCCTCAGCAGTGTATTTCAGTCGATTCACCTGCTCTGCTTACCATTCTGTCTCTGGTGAATCTCCTCACCCCGACCCCACCTTTCTGACCAACACCCCAATTCTTGTATGCGAGAATAAATAAATCTTTGGGGAGGAAAAGGGGGAAAGAAGTACTAACCTATGCAACCGAGTTTTTTAAGGTTAAACATTATGCAGAATAAAAGATGGCAGCCAGAAAGGCCCACATATTACAGGAGTCCATTTATATGCCATATACACAAGCAGGCAAACCTAGGGGATACGGCCACTAGTAGCTTCTTAAGGCTGAGAAGTGGGAGACTGGGGGTTTGAGAGATGTGGGGTTCTTTTCCTAAACTAATTTAACTTTGGTTTATAATGTTATAGGAGGTTTCTTTTCTGGGATGATGACAAGGTTTGAAATTGTGGTAAAGGTTTTGAAATCTGTACAACTCTGATTATACTAAGTCACTTAATTGTAAATTTTAAATGCATGATTTATGGGCCCTCCCTGGTGGCTCAGCAGGTTAAAGCACTAAGAAGCTAAAGCCAATTCAATGAGTTCGATCCCTTCCCCAGAGGAGATCCACATGGCGTGGGAGACCTCTCCTGACCCGCCCGCTACTCTCCTCAGCAGTGTAATTTGTCTGTCGGCCTGTTCTACTCCCCATTCTGTCTCTGGTGAATCCTCTTGCCACCCCTGTGCCTATGGCCTGAACCCCAGTTCTGTATGCATAAATAAATAAATCTCTAAAAAAAAATGTATGATTTGTGAGGTTGTGTGAATGACATTTCAATGAAGCTGTTATTGTAACAAACAAACCTATAAGGATGGCAAAGAACTCAGAATATTAATCAGATTCTCTGATCCAAATGTACTGAGGAAAGCTCTCTGTGCACATTCATTCTCTGCATCTCCTCACCTTTTTAAACATTCCGTGGAGTTGTTAGATGAAGACTGTAAAACAAGGTCAGGTAGCAGGGAGGGGAACAGACTGTCTTATCTCCTTCTAAAGGCAAATAAAAAAGCACGTCTAACAAGATGTGGGGACAGCAGAAGTGACAATGGCACTGAGAAAAAGGAACAGTAAACAGAGACTGGGGTAATAGATAAAGAGGCTTGTAAAGGAATGAACAGGAGGCTTTTGCCAAGATGTGGGGGTCTGTCCTGCAGAAGTGAAAGAGCAGAGGTGAAAGCGACCTCTGGTTTTAAAACAAGGACTAGTGTCTAAGAGGGAAGGGACATGGAGTAGAAGAAAGGGGTGTTGACTATTTTTAATGAACTATAGCAAAATACTCAAAAAAGTATATAAATTAATGTGTATAGTTTAAAGAGCAAAATCAAACAGTATACTCATTACCAACTAACAGAATACCGCCAACACCCCGGGGTGCACCCCATTACACCTCTCTCGTCATCTTCTTCCTCCCCTACCCCACAATGTAATGACTTTACATAGTTTTACACATTCCCTTGTTTTGTTATTATTGCTAATACCTATATGTCTGTGCCTAAGCTGAGAAACCTGACCTTCATCTGTGATCTTCCATCTGCTTGCGTATAGTCCTAGAGCAAAGAATGATTTTTATAGATGAACAGATCAATTGGTGATACGTAACTCCAATTTCAAACTCAAATTAATCAGCACCATTCGAAATACACTGTGCCTTCCAAAGAGATGTATTTCAGTTCTAACCTCCAGTGCTTCAGAATGTGAACTTATTTGGAACTAGGTTGTTGTCTATGTAATTAGTTAAGATGAGGTCATAATGGAGTAGAGAGGCCCTTATACAGGTCTCCTTATAAACACACTGATAAGACTGGTATCTTTACAAGAGGGATGACAATGTGAAGACATACACTCTGGAAGAATTCCATCTGAAGACAGAAGCAGACGCTAGAGGGATGCAGCTACACCTAAAGCCACAAGGATTGCCAGCTCTCTCTAGAAGCTAGAAGGCAGGATTCTACCAGAATTTCAGAGAGCCCGTGGCTCTGCTGACACCATGATTTCAGATACCTAGTCTCCAAAATTATGAAAGCATCTATTTCTTTTTTTTTTTTTTTTAAATACTGGTTACTTATGCAAACAAGAACTGAGGGACAGGCCAGAGGTACAGAGGGTGAGAGGATTCACCAGAGACAGGGTGGGGAGCAGAACAGGCTGACTGACTGAAGTATACTGCTGAGGGGAGCAGGAGGCGAGACGGAGAGGTCAGCTGCCCCATGCAGGTCACCTCCCTGGCCGGGGACTGAACTTGTGCTACAGCGGCTGCAGACAGCTTCTTAGTGCTGCACTTCAACTCCCTATGCTATCAGGTAGACCCCAAGAACATCTATTTCTGTTTGAGGCTGCTCATTTTGTGGTTCTTTGTTGTGACAGGCATTGCAAACAAATACTTCACACCCTGCCCAAAATAAAGGAATTTCGGCCCTCCCTGGTGGCGCAGCGGGTTAAAGCACTGCACTAAGAAGCTGAAACCACTTCTGCATGAGTTCAATTCCCGCCTGCCCCGGAGGTGACCACATGGCGTGGCAGACCTCTCCTGACCCGCCCGCTGCTCCCCTCAGCAGTGTACTTCGTCGATCTGCCTGTTCTGCTCCCCACTCTGTCTCTGGTGAAGCTGTCTGTCTGCCTGTTCTGCTCCCCACTCTGTCTCTGGTGAAGCCTCTCACTGCCCCTGAGCTTCTGGCCTGTACCCCAGTTCTGTATGAATAAATAAATAAATCTTTAAAAAAAAAAAATAAAAAAATAAATAAAGGAATTTCATTCTTTTCATTATCTGTATTACAAAATAATTTTAATATTTTTAATTTCACCAAACACAAGTAATGTGGAAATCAGTTTTCTCTTATTGCATATACATTTCATGTTATATTGTCACATATATCTCCAATTTTGCCTCTTGACCACAGAACCTAAAATATTTACTCACTGGCCCTTCACAAAAAAGTTTGCCTAGCCTGGTCTATACAATACATTATTCGGTTCTGGCCTAATTTTGAATTTTATGTAATTGATTCATATAATACATGTTATCCTCTGATGTGTTTCTTTCACCAAACATTGTTTGGAGATTTATTCATAGCACAAATACCTACACTTATTTTAATATGTACTTCAGTGCATCTGCCTGTTCTGCTCCCTGCTCTGTCTCTGATGAATCTTCTCACCCCAGTTCTTGTATGCATAAATAAATCTTTTTAAAAAGAAAGAAAACTCTGTTTAAATGTAAACTTTATACTATAACTGTCAATTTTGTCTTAATAAAATTACCAGATCTATAAAAAAAAAAAGATTCCAGCAACATGTTCTTGTACTTGGCAAAAAAAAAGAGAAAGAAGAAGCAGAACAGTAA